CTTTTAGTCTTATATCCCTAACTTTTTGTATTCATTCCGTTAAGCGCTCATTATTACGCATGCGCAGTTATTATTTTTTCGTAAATTTGATTTTCGTTCTATTTTTAATGTTCTTTTAACTGATGGCATATCTATACTCTTGATTCCCACCAGGATGCATTTCTATGCATATTATCTTCAAAGCATTCTGCTCATTGGCTTGTTATTTATTGATTGTCTCTCATATCTTCATTGCAATCTTTAGACAGTTCTTAAATATCAATTTAAACAATAATAATTTTATGCGATTAAATATTTACCTTATTAGAAGCGCTCGACGGGAGATTCGACATACTGCTGCAACATTTGGAAGGAAACGGAGGTGCACAACCATCCGTTTGCGATATTGTCGTGCCAATTAAAGTACGTAATTGCTTTACGTTTGTTTGTATTTTCTGCAGAATTCGATTAGATGATGATAGTTACTATTATTTTGCTTCAGTTTCTGAAAAAGTCATGCCACGATGACTTTACGGATGAAGATTTTTTAAATGATGCAGACGTAAGAATCTCTTTTTAATAAATTTAATTTGTTTATGGAAAATTGAATTTTAAAATCTTCGATTTTTTAAGGCTATTTGTCGGAGATGCCGTAGCGATTCTCCCATTGTACCGAGTGACTTTGTCAAATTGAGAATTTGCTGCGCAATTCGGGGTCCCAGCTGCCTAGTGTCGGCAAAAATGGTGGCGCCAGACATGGAATTCTTGACTGCTCCCATTCCTCGGATTCCCATCTTACAAACGGCCCTATCCAACAAGTTGCTAAATTCGAAGAATGAAATGCAGACGGGGTACGTTGCAAACAATCGCTTAGCATTGAAATTGTGTGTTCACTAATTGATTCCTTAATTGATTTACTAGATTTGTAAGTATGGACAAGACGAGAAACTTGGTGATGCTTTTAGAGAACGATCCGAAAGTTTTCAGATTTCCGATCGTCGGAATGTAAGTAAAACTATTAAAATTTGATTCATTTAAAGCAAAAATTGAATATTGTGATGCAATTTCAGATGGGTTAGTGGCATTCCTAACATTTTTCATCCATTTGTTTGGGCTTCCTGTTTACGTTACATCAGTTGCTTGAAATATTCAGAAAGGTGACATACAAATTTATTAACAAAATAATTTTAAGCTCGTTTATTAATTCATCTTTCTTCCCTCCTAGATTGTGTTTTCCACCTGAAATGTTTATCGTTATCCTCTATTCTTCCTTATACGACAATCCAGAATTTTACGACTTTGTCACCAGATCTGGAACTTGTCGGTTATCATACGATTTGTATACCGGATCGACTGCAACATCGTTGGCAAGGGTGAGTTTGTTTGTTGAAAATTGAGATCAAAATACAGTAAAACCTGTCTGTGGCGACCACCTTCAAAAAGTGGTCTTTTAAGGTGGCCACACACATTAAGGATATCCTTTGAGGAATAACTGTACGGGCCTGGCCTTGAAATTCAGAATTTCCTATCGCCCACACACGAGGAGGAAAATCTCTGTCAGTCAGTCAATCGGCCATGCATCTGACGACAATGTACTGGCCATTCTTGGATGCTTATTGGAAACAAATTGTATTAAAACTTGCGGGGGAAAAACATGTGCATAGAAGTCTATGGCGTAAATACTAGTAGTGGTGGTCTGGGTGGCACTGATCACAAAATTAATTTTTCAGGTTATAAATAATAAAAGTTTGTAAAAATTATTTTCTATAACCTTATTAACATTCACGAGACATTGTTCTCACTACTCGGAGGCCTCGCAACTGAACGACATGACGTCCAATACAGGTGGTCCCGTAGTAACATATTTCGTGCACTTTTTAACCATTTTTACTAAAAAGCAAAACTCGAGGTGAGCAAAAATAAGCGAATTTTTTTCAACGATAGAGCTATATTGGTATTGTATTTTATTCTTATTGGATAACCCGATTTACAGGTGTCATCGTGATATTATAAGACAGATTTAATAGTTAATATTTTAGAGTAAACAATACTTGCATTTTCTCGATTATAATGCACACTTTCTTTTTTCCGACTTAATTAGTTTGTTTCGGTATTCGTTAGTTTAATCTTATTTTAAATTTAAAAATACTGTATTTTTTTATAATATTTTCTTAAGTACAATAAGAAAAATTATTAATAAAACGATTTTATTATTTTTTTCTTCATTTTTCGGACATTTTCCAACAATTTCCTTTATTGCTAGACTAATTCATTAACACCTGCACCTAATTTCAAGGGTGGGAGAAGCGCCCGGGGTGGGTTCGAACAATAGTTTAGACCAGATATATTCGCGGAAGTGGTCGCTTGTTACAGTTGTTGTTTGGGACCAAAAATCGATGCCCGCGGTAGTGTTACACGGGTGGTCGCTTAATACAGGTAACTTATACGAAGACTCTTTATGTATAAACTATTCCGTGCCAGAAATTTTTGCCCGTTTAGACAGGTGGTCGCCTAAGCAGTTTTTACTGTACCGTATTTAAATTTAAAATTAGCATAAAATCTTTAGGTTCCCGTGGTGGAAAGCAAGGTGACGAAGATCGAACTTTCCAAGATTGCCGATAGAACTAAGTTGGAATTTTTGAACGCTACGGAGGAAAGATTAAAAGAAATGTGAGGATCGACATTCTGTATTCTTACCGTATTTCTGTTTTAATTATCTGAAACAATTGTGCGTTAACACAGGAGTGCAGAGAAGAACGAGAAAGAGAGAGAACGTCGCATTGCCGATAATGTTGACGTGCCACAAATCTGTCCGCATCCCCAGCAAATAAGGGTACGTTTTTAAATGTTTCTTTTCTTAGCCGGAAATAGTATATAATAGAATGTTAAATAAGCATTTTCTAATTTCTGATGAAGTGTTAATGCTGTTACCATTTATAAAAACTTACGTCTCCTTTGTAGAATACTGGGCAATGTGTTCATTAATTAATATAGTATATATTACTTCGACCTCATAATTGGAAACTATTGTAACAGAGCACATGCAATGACTGTAGTGTTCAATCTATCATTCTTTCAATTGAAATCTGATACAATTGTAACAAAATATTGAAACAACATATTATTTCAGATCATAAATCCCAAACCGACAGTACCCGATTTGTCTTTGTCGGATAGCATCGATCGACCGCTCTTGGAAAAAAACAGTGCTAGAAAAGATGCTGGAAAGACTCCTTTTCTCACTTCACACTGTTCACAAGACGAAAGAAATATTTCAAAATCTTTGCTTCCTTCTCATATATTAAATTCCAAAGAGTTAAGAGAAAATTCTTTGAACATTGCTCTTGGCGAAAGAGAGAATCCCATTTGTTTTCAAGATGTGCCGCTAAAAAAGTCGCTAATTCCTATTAAAAAGCAACCTTTGCTTTTCACTCATAAATCTGACGTGAGTAAAATTAAATCTAACTGTAATGATATTCAAAATAAAGTTACAAACAAGGAAACAGAGAAACAACAGAAGGAAAATACTAATCTGGAAGTAATTCAAACGAAAGCATCTGCATTACAAGAAGAAACGTGTAACAAAGATTTGATACTACAAAAGGAAAATGTGATAACTGAAGAAAAATTGAGAAGGGAATCCGTACCCAAAGACGTATACGAGCTCCTCAGGTACCAAGAAGAGCAGCTGCAACACTTACAACAACAGATACAACAAATCTTGAAAGCGCAGAATGAAAATCGTACAAAGGAATCTTTGACGCATGCCGAAAAACAGAACCCTTCTGTCTCCGTATCCACCATGACAAGTCTGAGTCTGAAAGATGGCAGAAAACAAGCTCCCGAGGAGCAAGATAAAATCTTAAAAACCGAAGGAGTCCAGACAGATGACGATCATTTTTACAGAAAATACAACAGGACTCGAACCATAAAAAGTAACTTATGCGAGAGAAGCAATCCTAAACAAAACATAAATCGTCAGATTAATAACTTTGACCCCCTCAAACAGTCCGACGGTTGTAATGTCCGGGTCGCAGAACCATCTCTGACTCTCGACGACATTCGTTTGGATACAGTGTGCGAAAACCGCGAGAGTATTGCTTCGTCCATATACGTCGATATACCAGATTATCCAGCCAGCACGTGCAGGTAACGCTTCATTTTTTTATTAGGATAGGAAACGGTGTCTAATATATAATTAACCCGATTTACAAAATCTGACAGCAGTGCCGACGATGCGGAAGAAAGTTCGGTGTTGGGAGAGAGCGCAAGCATCGTTGGAAACGTACAGGTTTGTATTTTATTGTTTTTGTTCAAATTATTCTGGACTTAATGAAATTATGTTTCAGCCAGAGACCGGAGTACCAAGTAACACATTCTATGAAAACATTCTCGTAAGCACAAAATAACTGGAAAGTAAGAATACGAGCGAGTAATTTTATAGGTATTAATTTATGTGATACACAGACAATTTGTTTAATTAATTGCTTTTTATACACACTATTCTAAAATACAGTTTAGTTTTAATGCTTAATAAATTGATCCACATGATCCACCAAAACTCCAATTGGCGCAATCCTTTTGAACCTCATGGTCAGATTCTTTGTCCAGTGAGTTAATTCCCCAAGGTTTTCACTAGTAAAACTGAAACTTTTACTAGTGAAAACCTGCTTTGTTTATGTTTAATCTTTTGTTTACACATATGATTTTACACACAAGTAGTGTTTTATGTTAGAAACTTCCTATAAAAATACTCGCCATGCTATTGCCGTCCTTATGTGGCGTTTTAATCTTCCATTTCTCGCATCGTGTACTCAGGGTAATATAGATAAAGTTCTGTCTAAACAAGTCCAAAACAAAGCAGAAGAGTCCTCAGGCAAGAATGACGATAAAGTCGAAAGGTAGGGATTCCGATCCAATACGGTCGACCCCCTCATAACACTGCTGATAATTCCGTGTTGTACGAGTCACTCAGATTTTACAAATACGTGTGCCGGGCTGTAAACGGCTCACGTATTTGTAAAATCTAAGTGACTCGTACAACATGGAATTCATATAAAACGGAATTATCAACAGTGTTATAGGGGGGGTCGACTGTAGTCATACAAATTATATGTTCAACCATGTTTATTTCTCTGGCAGGAACGAGGAAGATTGCATCGGAAGCAAAAATGTTCGTAAGGTAACACGTTTTTATTAATTTAATTTGTCATACAAATTTGTTAAATAGTAAGAATTCATCGTTGCATTTATATTTTAGTTAGATGCAATCCGGGAAGACATCTGTGACAATCTGTCTGAAAATGTCTTCTATGAGAATATCTTGGTAATTATTTTTATTTAATAAAATTGAAAACTTAATAGTTTTTCATAAATGGAGTCTGTCATGAAGAGCTTTCTGCTCTGCTGTTCATAGAAGGCTTACAAATTAATTGTATTCGTGTGTCAGGGATATACAATTAAAATTCATAATAAAAATAATAACTTGTACTGGAACTAGAAAGAATTAATCAAAATTATCGCCTTTTTACAAATTCCAGCAAATAAATTTAATATTAAAAACGTTTTCGATCGTCTTTAGTGATCATCATCAGTTAAAAGAACATTAAAAATATTAGAACAAAAATCAAATTTACGAAAAAATAATAACTGCGCATGCGTAATGATGAGCGCTTAACGGAATGAATACAAAAAGTTAGGGATATAAGACTAAAAGTAAATTAAAAATAAAGAGCTCAACAGTTTCTCATTAAAAATTAGTCTTATATCCCTAACTTTTTGTATTCATTCCGTTAAGCGCTCATCATTACGCATGCGCAGTTATTATTTTTTCGTAAATTTGATTTTTGTTCTATTTTTAATGTTCTTTTAACTGATGATGATCGCTAAAGACGATCGAAAAAGTTTTTAATATTAGATTTATTTGCTGGAATTTGTATAAAGGTGATAATTTTGATTAAAATTCATAAGTTAATAAATCATCAACAAGAATGGTTCTACTTTTCTTATTAACCTGTTGGCCAAAATATAGCACAAAATAGTTTAATTTGATACAAGGTAACAGCCCAAACTATTATTATTAATAGAGAGCCTGTAAGCCTAAAAGTTTGATAATGGTATTTGGAATGTCGGTGGAATCATCAAACTTGTAGGCTTACAGGAAGGCAGTGCTGAACGTCCGACGTACACATTTTTGCGATGAAAACATTGGCCTCAACCTCGCTATTATTATTGAGTTGTTTAAAAAAACAACCAAAAGAGAAACTCGAACCCATAACCTTGTTTACCACATAGATGCATTACCAGTTAAGTCTACGAAGTTCGGAGATGTTTGGGTAGCACAACTGGTATGTAGATACATCTGCATAGTGAAAACTTGAGGGTTTAAGTCTATCTTTTCCTCTAGAGCAATTTGAATTATTGACCTTAGTATAAGATGATGACACGCATCATGGTGAAACCTGTATGCATAAATAAATATAAGATGATCATCTAAATGCCTACGTTTAGACCAATTGATATTTAAACTGTACAGGGTGTCCGTAAAGTTGCACGATAAATTTCTAAAATTTGAGTGCATGCCACGGCATAGGTAGACTCGCAAAGCTTCATGCCTCGTCTTGTACGTGTGTAAAGTGATAAGTTGGAGAGTCGCCGCAAGTGTGACACCGGACTTGCCGATGAACACGGGGTGGAAAACTTGTCACCCGCAGCATTAGGTGATACTCAAAGATACACCGATAAGCTGGCTAAAACTGCTTGTTTTTTGATGCATGAAATGAATTTATAGAAATTCAGTAACGATGCAACATACTTAAAAATGATTTATTTTAACAAACCTTATGCTGTTGCATTACCAATCTGCAGTCTGTGACAAGTGGACAAGGTAGAAGCCACTGAAAGTTTGTATATCCAAGAAGCTGTCACAAGCTCATTTGACAACCACTTGGCAACAGATCCAGAGAATTTCTACGGGCTCTTATATTTTGGCACTAGAGATAGCCAGAAAATAATTTTACCCAAATCTTTGGCTGCCATACTCAAGTTTTTCAAATTTTAACGTTAATTAAAAGAAGACAACAAGATAGATGCAAGAAAAGAATTGCAAACAGAATTCTGTTTAGCGCTGGGTGTTTGTTTTTGCCAAAAACATCCTGACAGAATGGAACTTTTACTTTTGGTTGGTTGAGAACAATAATTTATACACAGTCTGTACCTGTAAACTATTGTACTAAGATCAATGTCCCATTCTAACCTGCAAAATTTCTTCAATAATTTGGCCTTGCTAAAACTACTCTGCATGTTACACCATTAGCAGAATTTAATATGTTAAGAACTCTTTAGAAAATTTCAGAAATGACACAAATTCCATAATAATGCATGCACGGTTGTCTCGAACCCTCTTAATTGCCTTTAACAAAAACAATCATTTGTCTCCAGGCTCAACCAGACAGAAGATGGCAAAATAAATGTTTTGCCATCTTTTGTTTCTTTGTTAAAATCATTTCTATGAGAGCCTTTAGTCAAGCTCTAGCCTGTAAATTTCATGCAGACCATACAGCTGTTTATCGTGCACAGAATTAAAGAACTCGATTCTCAAATTGCAAGCTGTTGTTTATGTAGAATTGACCTCTAAATAGTTAAATATTTAAACTACAATCAACAGTGTGCTTTGTAATTTTCTTACAGCAACCGAGATTCCAAACTTTACAAAAATCATGGAAAACTATTAACCATGAAAACCGCAAGATGTTTTCTATATTTCTATCAAAGAAGCAATTCTTATATATATATATTACATTAGCTACAATGAATTCCATTATACACAAATAAAGTGTCACTTGCTAATTGGCATGCAAAAATGTGAATAAGCTTTCTAAACAGTGAAGTGGAAATTACTGCAATCTAAAAGTGTATTGCGAATGAATGTAAAATGAGAAAATAGTATGTAGATTGTTTTGGGGATAATTTACGTAAAATTAGGCAAATTCATTTATATTAATGCTTTAAAAGATTTACTTGTTACCTACATGGTGTCCCTCCTAATTTTTAGGAAAATATAAACAGATTTTTAGTGAAGGCTTCAAACTCGGGACAGCAGGTCGAGAGATCCGTTAAGAGTTCTCACCTTTATACTTTTGGAAACTGGATGGCAGATGTGTCGCTGATTATGAGTGAAGAAGAGTAAGTTTTGTCAATTTTTAAAATGTGTTTGAGACTTTTAATTTAAAGCAATTTCTTCCTTCAGTATCTCCTACAGACTCGGACGTCTTCCCAGGTTACAGTATTCACTCCCCGAAGTCGATCAGAGTGTGGCGACAAATGCACTCGTGTTGAAATACCTGGGAGACGAATGTCCGTCCCGTCTCGTCGAAGCAAAGTCGTTGTCGGAGGGCCCCGCAAAGGAGTCTTCGGAGAGTCGTCCCACTGACTTCACCCTGTACGGCCTGTCTCCGTCCAACATTTCGTTTGCCACAAAAAACTACCTGGAAAAGCACGGACTCGTGGCAGTCCGGACCACCCCCTCCCGAAAACAAACACCCGTCAAACGAAACTGAGGTGAAATGTAAATATCAATGAAAAAATATTTTTTATATAATAGTAATCAATTTCAATGTATAAAACATTTTTTTTAATAAAATATAACTGCACAAATTTTTTAAAATCTTGGAATGAAATACTTAAAGAACGTAGACTAGACGTGAAAAAGTGACAAATACGAGATTTTGTTTTCTCGGCATTTCAATAATTCTAGTCTTGGTACAACAAGTTCCATTCATAAATTTTGTCGGCGGAACCGTTCACGGCACTGCCGCAACTCGAATGACGTTCAACAACAGACTAGAACGCAAGATTCTAAATTAACGCTTCGGTGGCGGCCGCGATTCCGAAACCCGTCCGCTCCCGTTAATGCCGTCCGGGTTTGCGTGCAATAACTTAAATGTGTCTGTACATCAGTATACGAAATTAACACATGGATTTTTTTTCATCGGATATTCCCCTGAATATATTTTTTATGGAAGTTTTGTCAAACAGATAATAATATTCAAAATTACAAAAGCAGGCTTGTTTACTTAATAACAATGCAAAATAGTTTTTACTTTTTTCTACCATCCCGTTACATCAAAAATAAAGCAGTCTACTCACAACAAGACTGACAACGATATGATTGTAGTGGCAGTTCCTCTTGTCTAAATTACAATCAAATTGCAGAGACTACTGTTGTTTTTTTTTTTTTACAAACTCTAAATTGTAACAATTAACGTGCCGTACGGGGAGGGGAATGTGCGGCTAGGTCTTCCTTTTGCAACTTTGCCTAATATTTTGGAATGTTGCTGGATATTGCATTCAATATAAATAACTTTCCATGTGTGCAATTTTTTTATACAGGTTTCAGATTCGCCATTACATTCGCGTGCATGGCAGACGTGTTTGAAGTCGGCGGTTTGGCGGGCCTTCCCCTCCCACCAACGTAACGGAACTCGATATATGTACATTAGTCGGACCGTCGGTTAACTCTCAGACACATTGGCGCGATTACGAACGAATCGTGCCTTCGGAGTGGTGCCTGCTAAAATTTAATTCATCAGAAACGACTTCTATTAGTATCACTTGTCCTTGGGCTTTATTTTTTTTACTGAACAATTTTTGAATGCAAGAAAACAAAAATCTCTTCATATTTACAAGGTTTTTTTTATACAAGACATTTTCACACATTCCCAGGTTTATCAATGTAACCTTGAATTAACATTAATTTTTGCAAATTTTTTACCAGTCAATATTTACATAAGGCAATATATTTAAGGAATCACCTTCATATGATTCTCTAGTGGTCATTTCGTGCCATTCTTTCCACTTCCCTTCCCTATCGTATTCGCCGTTCACATTTTCCCAGTTCTCTGTTGATATCTTTAGGATCGCCTCTTCAGTAAGTTCAGCTTTCACTGGGACATATTCCTCTTCCTCTTCTGGGATCTCTAATGAACTGATGTCCGGTAGCGATGCCATCAGCTTTTCTATCTCTTCCCCCACCCGATCCACATGGATTCTCGGCTTTTCTTCAGGAGGAGCTAGATCTAGTTGCGCGGATTCCCGGGCCGGAGATTCCAGTCCCTTTTCATTGGCAGATGCCTGGAGGAACCTATCCATCAGTTCTGATTTCGTTTTGTTCACTTCAGCGTCGGAACCAAACAGAGCACAGTTACCTGATCGCTTTAACAGTAATCCCAGAGTGACATCGTTTGTCCTACAATTCCTAGAGTCAGAAGTTAAATTTGGTAATAAGTCGATAGAAGGCATTGCACCTTTCTTAGCCTGCAATTCGGCTATTAGTTGCTGAGTAGTTTTCACTTTCTGAAGTTTTAGACCAGTGGATATTCCTTCCGCCTTGGGTCCTTCGTGGTCGGATAGTGGTCCGACCTTCTTTTTCTTCTTTCCAAAGCTGTCGTTAAAAGCACTTTCCTGTTCTTTTGTCTCGTCCTTGGTTTCATTTGCTTTAAAACTTTCGAACGCCGACCCCTTGCTGGGCATGATTTCGATGGTGACTCTGTTTTTGAAGTGAGCGGGATCCATCCCATTAGCCACATTGGCGTTCAAAAGTACCCGGTCTTCCGTGCGTCTCTTTTTACCTGCCAAACTGGGGGAGAGATCTTTCCTCAGCCTCTTGTTAGCTGCATTTGTTTTAGCTAAATCTAAACTGGAATGGCTAATTCCAGAATGAGGAGATATCGTAGAATGCTGAGCAGACGAGTGTGGCGAAGATGCTTCCTGAAGATGCCTACTCGGTAATGATTTACTGGAAATGTTAAGGCAGGGACTAAGTGACCTCGAACTATTATGTAAGCTGACCGGATTTCTTCCAGCAGGACTGTGAGGCTTGGGACAAGCCAGATTTGTTCCAGACAGATGCAATTCCTGTTTCCCGCCAGCACCACTTGCCATCTGAACTGCAGCTAGCGCGGGACTGACAGGCTTGAACATCTGATTACAAGTGGCACTGTTTCCGTTACTGACGACACTACCTAAGGCTTGATCCGACGCAGGCAATTTATTCATCACATGCACAGAAGGTGTAACCGTCGTTCTATTGGACCCTTGATGTCGAGGAGGTAAATGTGGACTGTTAGAAGCACTAGAACACGGACTAGTCGCTCTCTCGGACATCAATGCCGGACTGGCAAATTTGGCAATGCTGCCGCTGCCAGTCCTACATATCGCTGGACTAGCTGGTTTGTTTCCTGGTCCGGGACCGGGTCCCACTCCCGGCCCAGGACCCGGACCAGCCGGAGTCATTCCCACCGGAGGAGTACTGATACTTCCCACTATTCTTTCTCCATTGATTGTTGGGTGGTCTGGAACTGGCAGTAGTTTTCTCCATTTCTTTACCAATTCTTTTGCTCTTCTAGCTAATTGTTCATTTGAAGTTTTCTTCCGGAGTTCATTTATGAATTTCCCTATTCTCGTTTTCTGAAATTATAAAAAAAATTATGTTACTTTTCAAACAAAATAAACAATCTTTACAGAAAATTTTATACAAATATTAAATAAAATCAGCTAAACTGTTGAAATGAACAAAGAAAAATTACAGTAAGAACTTGATTATCTTTTTTTATTTCTTTTATCCATCAGAGTGCAAAATTCAGTTTTGTAAGTAAATTTACTGTATTCTTTTTTACTACTATTGGGACAAAGATTACTGAATTTTACAGTAAAATTCAGTAAACATACAAGCTTCTATCTCTGCACTGTAAGTACATCACATATAATTATTGCACTGTAAAATATATAAACAGTTGATTGTACAGTATTGTACCTATAGGATTGTCTATTGACCATGTCTAAAAGTAAACAAAGCCTGAGGCAAGTCACGTGATTGGACCTTCTTCAACTTCCGGTTGAACATGGAAGTTGTGTTAATAGTCGATGCGAAAAACATCTTGTGTATCAGTCACGTTTCTTTAAATAACTATATTATCTCATAAAATTATTGTTAGGATTTATTATTGTTTATACATAAAACTAAATTTAATTCGACTTTCTTCTCCATTTCTTTGACGCTTATTTTTTAAGAGAAGAAAGTGCAATATTCCTCTTATTCTTGCTTTGTTTACTCAACTGAATAGTATTGAGTAAACAAAGCAAGAATAAGAGAGGAATGTTGCACTTTCTTCTCTTAAAAAAAAGCGTCAAAGAAATGCAGAAGAAAGTCGAATTAAATTTAGTTTTATGTATAAACAATAATTTTATGAGACAATATAGTTATTTAAAGAAACGTGACTGATACACATGATGTTTTTCGCATTGACTATTAACACAACTTCCATGTTCAACCGGAAGTTGAAGAAGGTCCAATCACGTGACTTGCCTCAGGCTTTGTTTACATTTAGACACGGTCAATACATGACAGTGACTACTATGTCACTGTCATGTATTGACATAGTAGATTTCTAAAGCCTCAAGGGCGCAAAATGGCCTGGATTGCTTATGGAGAGGTTTCAATCATATCACTGCTTTGTCAACTTTGCTGGTAATACCATCATAGTGTTGAGTTGACAAGAAGTAATATTGCCATATTAAGTGATCACTAAAGTCTGGATTTTTGAGTGCTGTACTATATCGGTTTTAGTGCAGTAGGCTCATTCAGTGCCAAATTGTTATCACCCAAACTATATATTTTGCACCCAACTCCCCCTTTTTACATTTTCAAAGAATATGTTGACAATTACTTTTTTTTGCGGTTTTTATTCATTCACTCGAGGGGAAAAAAACAAATTTGTTAAACCAGACCACATATGCTGAGGAAAAAATACAATAATTAGCTTACTCTTCTTTTGTTGAAAGAAAAGGGAATAGGGGAATTTTCTGGACTAAACAACTAAGCATTAGGGTTGTTCTAAAAATGTAAACAGATTCACTGAAAATCTGCAACATGTTTTTTTTTTTCCTGAGAAAAGAACAATCTTGAAAATCCTGACTTGTGAGCATAACAGTTCCAATTTCCTTTGTTTGGTGTCGGCGACATTAAAAATGGCAAAATTGTCTGCATCTAAACTAAACATTTTAGTAAATAAGTTTAAAGATGAAGGTATATGCACAGATAGAAAAGTTTATTGCTGCTCCATTTGCGATTATGTGATTTCAGTTGATGTGAAACTCCAAGAAACAAGAATCAGGCAACATGAGTTTGGAAAAGCATAAAGAAGGCAAACAGAAAAGGAGGAATTTCAACTACACATTTATAGGGGCCTCATTTCAAAGAGGATAAGAATTTCAGAAGGCAAATATTCCCTTTATATAAGGTAATCAATCCCACCTTTAAGTAATTTCTCCAGAAATATATGGGAAAGCTTGTCCTGGACGAGAGCACTCAGAAAAAAACTACGTGAAACCAGTTTATGATCAAACAATATCTAAAATTCTATACGTTGTCAGAGACAATCCTGTAGTGTTTATACTGGACTAAACAATGGATTCCACAAAACAGTACATGCTTGTTTGACCACTGACCAGATGCTACATACAATCAATGTTGTTCAAAATGTACCAACTTAAAAATACAAACTCAACTACAATGTCCCAAGCTTTCAATGATATTTGCATCAAGTTGTGGACAAATGGTGCCCAGTACAAAAAGGTTTGGCTTGTCATTACAAATCAAGCATCTTACATGTTGTCAGCATTCTCAAATTTGAAGTGCATCTAAAACAACCTAAAGCATGTGACTTGTCTTGCCCATGCCCTACACCGTGTATGTGAACCTATTCATGTAGAATACAGCAAGGCCAACAACTTAATTTCAAAAATGAAAATGGTTCTCAAGTGCCTTAGTAGGGAGCGCTTGTACCAAGACATAACTGGGCTGCCATTACCACCCAGCCAATTGTCACCCATTGGGGGGGTCTTGGATAAACAGGGTGGTATCTACTGCAAGAACTTTGAAAAAATTAATGCATTTATCAACAAACTTCCTCCTGGCGATTCTGCAGCCATTGACAGTGTCAAGAAATTGGTAGCTGATCCAGTAGTGACCACAGAGCTCTACTCTGTGCATTCGTACAAGTTATTGGTGGATAAAATCAACAAGCTGAAAAGACATGGAACTGAAGTGCGGGATCATTGGAATGTTGTAAGTCGGGCACTTCATGTACTGGATGGTTTTGCCCTGGACAAACTCAGATCTAGTTTATGAAAAAATACTGATTTGAAAAATATTTTGGATTGCACTGAACTAGAATTCCAAGTAAAAATGAAACATGCCCCTTAGTCTCAATCGACGTAGAAAAATCTTTTTCCTTATATAAAGACATTCTATCCTACAAACAAGAAAACTTCACTTTTAAGAACATTGAAATGGTTACTGTTGTAAATTACAATGCTCATCTTTATGTGTAAATTGCAATAAACAACTATATAGTTTGTAAATATAATACTTCTTGTTGATTTTTGTCTTAATAATACAGCATTTAAAAGCACTCAAAATGGGGGGAAGCACCAAATCCATTCTGAAAATGCACCCAAAAATCCGGACCTTAGTGATCACTCAAAACTCTCAAGTCCTCTTTTCAGTTCAAATCTCAAAACTAACATTTTTTCACTTGTGTAAGCACTTTATAAAAATTTGTCATAAGAGTGCAATTTTAAGCAAAACTCTTCAAAGTGGAACCAAGTGGCACTAATAACACTTCTAATCCAAATAACAAGCCAAAGAATATTTAAACTTTGGCTTAGCAAGTATGAGTGACAAAGAAAGATGACACCAAAATGTATTCTGTACAGTGAAAAACTTACAAATAGTACACTACAATGGTTCCTGTGAAGTTGAAATGACTTCCAAAGGTAAAGACTTTTAAACAAGCAAAATGTTTCAATAAAATTGTGAAAATACCAAATAAAATACAAATAGTTTCATTCAAAGTTATAGGATTAATGACAGTAAAATTAAAACTGCATACTACAAGTCATTGTATTTCACAACATGCTGATAAAATTAGAGTATCTGAAAAGTTAGTTTGCATGTACTGGAAAAGCACAAACTCAGACTTGTGTATAAAAGAAAACAGTAAATAAATTTTTAAGCTCCAGTTATCTGCAGCTTAAAAAGAAGACATTTTAAACATTCAAGATAAGAATTAACGAATACATGTTCTAAGGGTACAAAATGCAACAAAATTTGTACCAACAAGTTTCATCAATAATATGATCGATAAAAGAATTTATTGTTTTTGTAAAAAAATTAATAGTACATTTGTTTTACTACTGCTTCTCTAGTAGAAAAGTCATTGTCGTCAAAACTGCAGAATGTTTGAAGTTCAACTATTTCTGCATTTTGCAGAAATAGTTGAACTTTATTAATTAACACATACTAAAATTGGCACGCAAACTGCATTATGGCAAGGATCGTGCACCCTGCTCTCTATTGGCCCGCTATCACTATGCTTTGCCAATGGCGAAGCATAGTGATTCAGTTCTTGACAGTTGTAACGGACAGACATGAGCGTTACATAGTGATTCAATTCTTGACAGTTGTAACGGACAGACATGAGCGTCATGGCAGTATGTGACAAGTGATGATATGAAATGTGGATAACAATGAAATGACCTACACATGTAAATAACGGAAAAAGAACAGAAAAGGACCGCAATGCGAAAATGTAAAAATAAATATGAAATTGAGTTGATAACATAATCGAACAAGTCGAGGCAGCTTATTGGCGCAAAATTCGCAGCCGTCAATGCCAAATAATTGTTCTCATAGACTTTGGAAAACTAAATGCTTGTAATGAAAGTCACTTAGTATGCACGGGCGAAAGCCTGGGGCCGTTCAGGCTACCAAGCTGTCTGGAACTTCAGTTATGATAAATAATTTTGTACAGTGAAACAAAAAAGTTAATTTAATTTTCAAGTTTATAATAAGGGATGATTTCATAAAAACGNGGTTATCATACGATTTGTATACCGGATCGACTGCAACATCGTTGGCAAGGGTGAGTTTGTTTGTTGAAAATTGAGATCAAAATACAGTAAAACCTGTCTACGGCGACCACCCGCGGTTCCTTCAGAAAGTGGTGTTTTAAGGTGGCCACACACATTAAAGATATCCTTTTGAGGAATAACTGTGCAGGCCTGGCCTTGAGGAAATTCAGAATTTCCTATCGCCCACACACGAGGAGGAAAATCTCTGTCAGTCAGTCAGTCAGTCGGCCATGCATCTGACGACAACGTACTGGCCATTCTTGGATGTTTATTGGAAACAAATTGTATTAAAACTTGCGGGGGAAAAACACGTGCATAGAAGTCTATTGCGTAAATAGTAGTAGTGGTGGTCTGGGTGGCACTGATCACAAAATTAATTTTTCAGGTTATAAATAATAAAAGTTTGTAAGAATTATTTTCTATAACCTTATTAACATTCACGAGACATTGTTCTCACTACTCAGAGGCCTCACAACTGAACGACACGACTAGAGATTGCAATCCAGCAGTGTTTTCAATCCAGCTGGATCTTTGCTGGATCAATATCATTCCAGCGCAGATGTATTTTTGGTGCAATAAAGTGTTATCTATCTATCTATTTAGCATTTTATGGTATTTTTTTTAAGAAATAAAACATTGTTTTAAATACTTAAAAACCTTTTATTATTTAGACTGTTCACTTTAAATCAGTAAAACGTCTTACACATTTAGGTAGTAAACTTAACTTTGGTTCGGTTTAACACTTGAGATAGAGATAATTAACTATAAATGTTTAGTTAAATTATAATTATAATGTAATNTTAATTATCCTATCAGGACTTCTTATTTTATATACGAGTATATAGATGACTAAACTACATAATAAGTAGGTAGTTTTCATTTGATTTGTTACTTTTTTTATCTCTTAAAAAAATAACTTAGTTATATTAGTTTTCCTTTGATCTTTTACATAAATAAGCAAAAATTTGTACTTTCTCGAACTTGAAATGTATGTTCAGCATTAATAAAAGTTACCAAAATGATTAATTTACTGTGGTTTTGTTATTTCTTACTTCTGTTTTTAGGTATTTGGTAGAATAGCTAAACATAGGCCAAATACCGAATAGTAACCAAATATTCGTTGCATCATTACAGATTACATATTTGTTAAATAAGCCAAACCAAAATTCAAAGGTTAACATATAAAATATGCAATTATAATTCCAATATGAATGCAAGTAGTAACTTTGTTTAAATACAACATAGTCCAGCATTAGATTAGCGTGTGTGTGTACATAGGCTTCCAAAGACAAACTGGCAAACTCAAAAAATTAGAAACTAACAAGTAATTTCCTATTCCAATAAAGCAAAATTTGATGAAACTATAGTTCATAAATGTAAACATATACAAATTCATTCATATTATTCTCTTGTATATACAATTCCAAGTAAAGGTACAGTACCTTTAACTCTTTAAACATGAAATCAGCCAAAATTGGCCTTATCTGTTCAAAACGAAATTGGCTAGTGGAAAAATTGTTTGACTCGTTTTGCTATACAAGTACTCCTAGTAGCCCAACAGGAAGAAACAATTTAGTCTATAGCTACATAGTAGGAGAAAGTTTTCAGAGCTTAAAAGAGTTAAAGAATTCAATTTAGTGGTTTTTAAGTACTGTCTTCCTCGTATTCAGATATACACTGAATAAAATTTATGATATGTAAGTGGACAGTTTTAATCTATGCAAGGAAAGCACAGATTTGCAAGAAAGACTGTCTTATATAAATTTATATAATGTAAAACCTATGTCCTACAGTACATAATATTGTACAAGACATATCATCATAGTTAATGTTGGATTATGAATGCTAGACCATAACTATCAACAAGATTACAGTTTTTTTTCTGAAGTTGCTAAGAAATAGAAGGTCCTAAAGAAAAGCCTAGACTGTCCATATTTATACAATATTGTATAATATATTTTATGCAATGCCCAAGAAAGATAAGATAGTAAGTACTTTAAAAGCATTAATATATATGTGATAAAAGTTTACACAAAACATCTGTAATGTATATAGGTGGAGTGAGAATGACTCAGATTTTTTTCAAATACTTTACAATTATATACTGAGTCACATTGAATGACTTCATAAGCAGTTCGCAACATGTCTATGCATACATTTCATGGCATGGTAAAAGCAAAATTTTTGAGTATGGTTTAATATGTACTGGGCTCATCAATATCTTCTTGTACAGAGGTATCTGAGTAACATTCCATCACAGTCATCTCACATCCTCCATACTTCACCAGACCTTGCCTCTCGTGTGTTTTCATGGAGGAAAGAGGTGGAAATCACACATGAAAGGATGAAAATTCATTAACAAAGATAGTGCACTTCAGACCATCACATCACAATTTTCAAAAAATTGTACAATCACTGAATGAAGTGTGTTGCTGCAGAATGTGAATACTTTGAGGGTAATGGTGTCTAAATATATGTAGAATTAATAAAAACCTTTTCCATTTAAACTTCCTGAACATACCAAATAAGAAATACTTTGCTATATGTACGTATATCAAAAAGATATCAACGTATATAAGATGCATATCAAAAAATCCAAAAGTAAGAGATTTTTGAGGATAATAAAGCATTTGTAAATGACAGATACCTCTAATGCATCTTTTGTGATGCTAGTCTTCTCCAGAATTGAAATGACTTCAATGACAGTGGCCATATCCACCACCTGAAAAAATAATAATAATTCTTTTATTATAATGTTATCAGTTAATTTATTTTAATGAAAAATAAAAATATTTAAAAACATTTCCACTAACTGATATAAAATATATTTTCAACATTTCAATTAAACTTTAAATGTAGTTTTCTTATTTATTTCAATCTGAAATTCAAGAGAGTAGTATCAAATATGTATTTAGAAAGCTCAGACATTAACAAAATTTGACCAAAAGTTATGTCAAATGTAATCCATTGATTCTGAGATAGAGGATGTTATATATTAATGTAAAGCATCAGCATAATGTGGGATGAATGGTTAGACTTGATTTCACTCTTCTACAGGCTCTTACCAAACCTGCAGTAAAGTTGGCCGTGCAGATGACAAATGGGTGGTGATGCCTCAATCTAAACTGTCTCCACAAAAATACAGACATTCAGATCAAGTTGTGCCTCTCTTTAATCAAAGGGACAACAGTGTTCTGTATTTGTTATTCAATAACAAATAGAAAAATGTTTATCATCATTTGCTGTTGTATATGTTCTGTATCAATGGTTAATGCACCCAAACCAATTTTCTGAGCTAATATCTGACAATTTCCCAATGATCCAAATCAACTCAAAAACAAGTTGCTCTGACAGGATGGTAATACTCTTTAATCACTGGGACTACAACCATTAATACAACAACAAAACTTACCATAGCCTTAAAGAATACAATAAAATAAATAGTCATTACTTAATTAATACCCAGCTAGAATGCTTCTTAACTTTCAGAACACCACCTGATATCACTGAGAATTATTTATTACCTGTAACAAATGTTTCCAATCTGTTCTACAGGCTATCTTCAAGTTTTTAAAAATCATGGAACATTGATAATTGTTCTTTTTGTATAGAACAGTTAATAACACATTTAAAATACAAAATTCTTTGAATATCGAGCTATTTGAATCCAAAAAAAATACTTGTTTAGGAATGTCTCATTAATCCAAACTTTTGTTCGGTAGATTATCTCACAGCATCATGGTCAGAAATATCTTTATTTTTTTAAAAAATTGGATTACATTGCAAATGCATTTCAAGTTTGCTTATATTCCAAACCCCTCCTTATAAACAAACCTGAAATTTGCAATGTAATCCAATTTTTTTTTTAAATAAAGGTTACGTAATTCTTTAAATAAAGATGTTTCTAACTGTGATGATGTGAGATAATCTACTGAACAAAAATTTGGATTAAAGAGACAATACACAAGATCCAATATACAGCAATCATAAAACAGAAACATCATCCAAAAAATAAATTACAGTAAGATTAAGATATATACAGTGGATTCTGCTTAACTGGGACACATTGGGACTAATCCATTTTGGCCCAATTAAGTGGCTGCCCCAATTAAACAAACTAATAATAAACTGTACAATAAAATATGCAATATGGAGGTAAAAAATAATAATTAGGTACCTATTTTAATGCTTTATTAACCCAAAATACAGCAAATGTTTGTACTATAAATTTGACAGACTCACGACAATAAATAACTGATTCACATAATGCTAGTGTTGCCAAATATTAGTAGTGATGTAAACAAGGGTTGACCATTCAATCCATTCCTGATCGAACAATTTTTCCTTTCTTTCTTTTTAGTTAGAACATGTTCTAACTAAAAAGGGAGAAAGAAAATGGTTCGTCCAAAAGTCATTTTACGGTCTTCCTTTGAGCACAGTTTCCTTTACTTGGAAATGGGCCACTTCGGCAGGAGTGTCCTTAGAATCCGCCAGCTCGATGTTGGTCTCAACTATTGGATGGTTGCTGTTTAAATGTAGACATAATTATGCACACAATACTTTCCAAGGGAACTCTAGCTGTCTTCCAACTCAGTCAAGAGACCTCAAAAAAAATTGTCCGGTGACTTTTGTCCCTTCACTTTTAAGGGGATCATCCGGTCCAATCCAGAGCAGGGTCCAGTAACTTGCATTCAGGTCCACCTCAGACGAAATCCCTGTGATACATCCCACTATGCTAACCCCTCCGGAAAAACCGAACTGCCCAAGCAAGACAAAATCACTTTGTCTCTGCCAATCATTAGGCTTACACAACATTACTGTACGTAGTGCCTACATACTTTCGGAAGATTACTAAAATATATCAAAAATTGCTAAATTCCTTTTCTGCTACTGTCCAGTATTAAGCAAAAAGTTGTCTCAATTAAGTGATTAACTTATGTATTAATTTATTCATTTGGTTTCTGTTCTTTAAAATTTGGCCCAATAAGGTGGCTGCACCAATTAACCAATGTCCCAATTAAGCAGAATTCACGGTATATAATTTAAAATAAAAGAATAAAGTAGATCAAAATTACATTCACAATATCAGTTTTTGATTGTACGGACATTATGAAATATTCTCTAATAAGTTCTTTTTGACCATATATTTCCATACTGTAGGTAATACTGTGGCATCCCTATAGTTTATACATCTGCCCAAAAATTTACTTCTACAAATTTCAACTTTTTCCAAATTCATTGCTAATGCTGGTGAGTGTATCAATTTTATAATGCTAACTTCCTCCCATTCTTGCTAATTGCCAGCTTTCCTCCCATTAGCAATGAATTTGCTATACATATTACAGTATTTTATTCTATTCTTTGGATTCAAATAGCTCAATATTCCAAAGAATTTTGTATTTTAAATGTGTTCTTAACTGTTCTATACAAAAGGAACAGTTATCAATGTTCTATGACTTTTAAAAACCTGAAGATGACCTGTAGAATAGGTTGAAAAAGTTTGTTACAGTTAATAAATAATTATTAGTGAGATAGTGTTGTTGTGAAGTTAAAATAGTCATTACCAAAACCAGAAAATTTCCTCCAATATTCCAATCCTAAAATCAAAGCTCAGCTGAAAGGTTATCAGACGCATCAGTCATACACTCAAAGTACATGTTGGTTTAAGAGACCAACAGTTCATTCTTCAGTCATATAACTAATATAAATAAACTGAGGTTAATTCAAAGCCTCAACAGAAACACCCTCAATTATAACAGGCAAAACATTGATTAGTCCCATAAATCTTAGAACTCTGCAACTCTGCCCATAATACAAACTATAGTAATTTTGATATATATACAGCTGAACCTCAGTACAACAATATTTTGGGAACCTGGAAAACGTTTATTGAAACGTTGTGCTGTCAACATCATCACAATTAGGGGTCTTCAGACATTTCTGAAAATTTAAAATATCGAATGAAAAAGAAGCAATGCATCAACTTGTATATATTTAATTAGCATAACCTCATCTTTAACATAACGGACCATCTATTAATTACATGCACAATGAGCTACTTTTCACCTTCTTTCTCAGTCATGTATGACGACGTACTTTTGGTAAACCGTCGTCCTCCCTCCATTACACTGTACACACAGTTAATGGATGACTTCTAAATCTGAATTATCGAAATTTATCATACCGACCAGACTCATTAAATCGACACTTTCAAATAAATTTAGTTTAATTTAACAACACTTTACGAAAAACACTTAAAACAGGTCTCTAACCCTTTATCTAATCAACCATCATAGTTGGCATCTTTCATTTCATCCAGTATCAAGTGATGTGTCATCGTGATGTCCTAGTAACCGACAAATACTATTTTTAAAGCAGTTTATATATTTGATACAAATTTAAGTCGAGACCTTAACTGTATCTCAAGAGCGTTTGCACTTTGAAAATAAAAACTATTCAATTAATTTAAAATTAAATATTTGAAACTTATTTAAATGAAAAAACAAATAATCAATATATAAATATTTCATAAGTAGAGTAACAGATTTCAATTCGAATTTATATAAATCAAAATATATAAGAAATTATATACATATAGATCATATAAATATATATCTCAATATACTAAAATTTGAACTTAATTATGCACAAATTCAACAGTATTGTCAAATAGGCATGTAATTAATAATTAAATTGAAAATACTTTGGATCGGCGAGGGAATCAATGTTTTGATAACTTTTGTTGTATTCAATGACTTCTTAATTTGAAAATGAATCAAATTAAGTTACTATTATCAGGGCCACACCGAACAGTTTTGGCGTGACCATGGTAGTTAACTACTAAAAATTCTATGAGCTAATTTTGGTATTCTCAAGATTGGTGCCGAGAGTGCACCTTCACCTTCCCTTAGTTACACTGCTGACAACTTGATTAAATCATATTGAAAGTGTCTCAAGTCAATATTATACACCTTAAGGAATAAAACAGTTAGTTAAAGACGGAATAAAACGGTTATCAGAAATTAGTGATGGAGCAAAGGGATGATTAATTAGAATTGAAAATCAAGAGAAATTTATCAATATTTCCAATGGTGATCAAGAACTTATCATGATCAGACAATTCTTTAATGTTTAATAAAATCAATTTTTCATTCTGGATAATAATTAAAATTGTTTAACAGTTTCATTTTGTTTGCTAAAAGTAAAGAATAAATTTATTTCATATTGCCAGTCAAGACATTAGGCAAAATCAAACATATTCTGTGAGACCAGTGTAATAAGAAATAGACAGTAACAGACTACTAGAACTAACAAGCAACCCGAGTTGGCATTTTTTAATTGTTTTTTTTAGCAAGTGGAATAAATTTTAAAATGCCAACTCTATTTGGAGCTATACTTGGCATAAATTAAACTCTCCATTAACGTGCCATCGGCAATAATGACAATTAGAAGTCAACTACAATTCTGTCCAAACAGGCTATCAAAATTCTATTATCGAAATGTTTATATTATGCTTGGCTTATTTAATATTGCCACATATATTTTGACATTGCATCTACACTGAAAACTCTCAGTTCACCAGCTGATTACACCAAATAATAAATTGATGACGTAACTGTTGTTGTGTTTCCCTAATTTAATAATACAAATTATAGCATTTTGGGATTAAAAAAAAATAGCAACAGAATAAATCTGCATCCTTTAGCACACTTATAAACACAC